CACGAGCCAGAGCTTCACGTCTTCTTGGAGTTCGGCGTCGGCGATGGCTTCCACGGGTGCTGCGGGTTCCACGGAGGCTCCAGGTACCTTGTCGGGGACGATCGGTTCCTCTCCTTCGGCTTCCTCGCCCACTGGGTGTACGTCTCCTCGTCTTGCCGCGCTACGGCCTTGCGCCAGTTCGCAAGACCTGGGGGTGGCCCCCCAGGCTCAGTCTATTGACTACTGCGGTGCAAATCCAGGGGATGGCTTCCCTGGTTCACGTCGCAGCGCATCCTCGCCCCCACCGTTGCTGCACAAGGCTAAAAGGAACACGGTCAGTGAGTCGCAACACCCACAGAGGCCTGACATGTGGGAACTCTGCACATTTAACATCACCTCCAGGGGAGTTGGGTGCGACACGGGCTCCGAGCAGACGCGCAGGCCGTTCATCGACCTGATTGATGCTGTGGAGTCTGATCTCTACCTGTTTCAGGAGCGCCACCAGCCTGAGGTTCGGCTGGGTGATGTTCAGCATGCTCTAGTCAAGGCTTGACTTAACTCGCTTCTCACTCCTGCGGCTCCGTCGGGGCGCTCTGAGTCTGGCGCGCCTGGAGGGGTTGGCTTAGCGACACCGAAGCTTTGGGGCCTCAAGGGTCTAGACGAGCTGCCCCATGGGATCATCCTTCCCCCTGAGCATCGCTTTCGGTTGGGCCTCTAGAGTGGCCTTTTGTAGGGGTGGTGTCGTCGTCGGCTCTGTGCGCCTCCATGCGGGGATCGGCTGCAGGGGTCAGAACCTCGAGCTCCTGCACTGCACTGGTGAAGTATTCAGGGCCTACGGGGTGCCCTGCCCTTCACACTCGGAGGCGGTTTGTAGTGTCGTGGAGAGCAGCTGGTCGAATCCGGGTGGTCGGGGGGCTTGCAGGCTGATGCGGTGTCGGACGCGGCCAACTGGACATGCCTGCTCGGGACCTCTCGATCCCACATTTCGCCGTCAGTTGCTATGCGGCGACTTGGGCGACGTGCACGCGGCCCCACCGTCTTGTTATGTTGCGCATGCGTGGAGAACCTAGGCAGATGATGGTACCCAGGCTGAAGAAACCATCGGCCCTTCCGCTGCGCGGACCAATGGGTTGCGAACCTCGGCCCCTTGTCTGGGGAGACCTTCAGGGAGTGCTGATCTAGAGTCCGACTTCCAAAGGGACTCTGGATACTGTCACCTCCCAGTGGGTTCAGAGGGCAGAGTTGGCAACCACTCGTGTTCTGCAAGTTGATTCTGAACCTAGGTATCGAGGTCGTGGAGGCCCCCCCCCAAGGAGGTCCAGGTCCCTCTGCTAGGCCCCCCAGCCTCGACTCATCCCAGAGCCATAGGCGAGGGTGGGATGTAGCGCGCGCTGGAGAGACGGCACCAGGACATCCTGTTCCTTTGGCATGGGCCTCGGCCCACCTTGGGGGGGCGCAGCAGTCTGGGATCCTCTGGAAGAAGTCGGTATGCTACCAGGCCCCGCTCACCGATTGCAAGCACTGGGAGTCCTGGAGGCTGCGCACGATTGCTGTCAACCCGTCCAGCGAGGCCGAGCCTAATGAGCTCGTCTGGCAGGTCCGCAAATGGGCCCAGGAGCATGGGCCTCATGCGGCCGCTGAGCGGCCCCGAGCTTGGAGGGAGCGGGTTGCGGATGCCCTGGCTGGCGGGGCCCGCCTGGGCCACAGGTTCACCTGGGAGGTGCCCGAGTGGGTCGCGTTTGGGCTGTCTCGTTACACTGGACCCAATGGAACTCCTCTTGGGATCATGGCGGAGGCTGGAGCTCGGGCTCAAGGCTGGCATAAAGCACTGGGGTGTTGGTCTGGAGTTTCCCGACCCTGATTTCAGCCGGTGCGAGGACGAGTCCGAGCTAGAGCCCCCGGCGCACGAGGACCTCCTCGCCCCGCTAGGACGTACAGCACGCACACGGCCGTCGGCGTCTGTGGCTTGCACCCTCGGCACTGGCCCTTCTTGGACGACAGCGCTGTAGAGGTTTTCCTGCGCATCTGGGGGCAGATGCGGAGGCTGTGCTACGTGCCCAGGTGCTGGGCGCTCTTGCTTACTGCCCTTTTTGCAAAACCTCCGCCTGAAGGGGGGGATCGCCCCATCGGGGTCTTCCCGTCCCCGCTTCGGATGTGGCCCCGCTGGGCCCGCTGGAATTTCGCTGGACCGTGGGAACGGGACCGTCCTCGGGGCTACTGGTTCGGCGATTCTGGGGCGTCCTGCGACATATGTGTGTGGAAGCAGAGTTTCAAGGCGGAGCTGGCCAGGGATCAGGGCAAAACAGCGGGGTCCAAGCTACTTGATCTCCATCATGTGCTCGCGGCGTGTGCCAATAATCACGGGTTCCACGGCAAGACTCTGCAGTTGTTGCTGGGAACGTACGCGATTGGTCGGATGGTGATGTTCGACATGATTGCGACCGAAATCGTCTCGACGAATCATGCGATCGTTGCCGGCTGCAGTTGTGCGACTTCCCTCCTGCGTCCGGTGCTTCTGTCTCCCGCTGATCTGGGAGTTGCTCGGTGCCCATCCATCGATTTGGCGATTGTTGTTGACGATTTGCAGTTGCATAGGGTGGGCGATGCCTGGAAGGTTGCTCACGAATTTCAAGGGGCGGGGGGTCTTCTCACGGCTGAATCGGCCAAGTGCGGCCCCGCGATCTCCCAGACTGTGGTTGGCCAGGATATTCGGCGCGCTGTTCGTAAGGTTGAACCCCGCTCGGCTCGGTGTCTTACCAGATCTGCTCGGCATCTTGGACTGGCTTTCGGGGGCGGCCATCGGATCCTGCATGCGGTTCGGGCGCAGCGTCTCGGGGAGATGGGCTCTAGGGTCCCACGATGCAAGCGGCTGGCCAAAGCAGGGGGCAAGACAGTCAAGTTGGCCTAGACGGGCCTCAAGCCTGGGATGCTCTGGGCTGCCGGGGCCCACGGGATGAGCAGCGCGCAACTTCTAAAGGCCAGGCAGGTGGCTCGCGCAGGATGCGTCTTCAGGCACACGGGTAGGACTCTCTCGCTCGACTTGATGTTTGCAGGCAGCCAGGTCGACCCCGCGCTCGAGTGCAACCGTGGGCCGATCTACTTGCGACTGCAGGCGCTCTGGGGCGGCTGGGCGCCAAGATCTGGCATGGCGCGCCTTCTGAGCGGGGCGTGGGCTCGTCTTTCGTTCGTCCCAGAATCCAGGGTGTGGTCCGACATTCGGGGACCTGCCTCGGCCCCTGTGGGCACTATGATCCGTTTGGGATAGAAACTGGTCAACCCGTTCCGTTGGCAAACTCACCGCGGGCCCGTCTCGATAGAGGGGATTTCGCCCAGGGATGGAGGCAAGTTGGCCGATGGGGGCCACTGGGCGCTGGCTTTGGCAGCAGGTCGTGGCTACGCACCCGTCTTGGGCCTCGCTCTGTCCTCGCCTTCCGCTTCTGGGGCCTCTGAGGTCCCCCCCCCCCTCCTCTGAAGGCCCTGGCCGGACCCCCAGGCACTAGGGGCTCCTGAGGTGCTTGTTTGCGGGAGTTTTCTGGCCCCGGGCAAGGCTTTGCGATGCTGGCGGGGCGGTCAACCCAGATTATTTAGTTTGCGAGAGTCGGGGCACGACGTGGCACCGTTTCTACGGATGCCTCGCTCATGATTCTTATCGTCGCGAGTATAAAGCAGGTTACCAGTTGGTTGGCCAGATGTTCGAGCCGGCCCATTCGGCTGCTGACGCGTTTTTGACCTGGACAAGGTTTCTGGCCCCTGACCCGCCCTGGCTGCTGCCGAGCCCGCGCCTTGAAGAGCGAGTTGGCTGGACCTTGCGGACTGATGACTTGCTCCTCGATGCGCATGTGTTCGGCGATGGCTCGGGCTTTCATGGGCGGTGCAGCCGTCTGACGCGATGTGGTTGGGGATTTTGCTCTCTCGATTTTTCTTGGCGCGAGGTCGCCAGAATGCATGGGCCGCTTCCGTCTCTGTTCCAGTCTGCGCCTGCTGCGGAGCTGTTCAGCTTCTTCATGGCGTTGAGATATATGGGTGCGCAGCTGCAGTTTTACACCGATTGCAAGCCGCTAGTAGACGTCTGGCGCCAAGGGTTCGGAGCTGGCACGGCTGCCAGCGACCCGATGGCGATTCTCTGGAAGGAGGTCTGGAGGTTGGCGGCGGATCGGGGTTTGGATGCGGTGGAGGCCACTCATGCCGAAGCCCACGCAGCGCTCTCGGCGGTGGCTGAGGGGCGCATCACACCTTGGCAACGTTTCGGTAATGCCTAGGGGGATGAGTCGGCTAAGGTAGGAACTTCGCTGCACTCGGATAACGAAGGCTTGCGCGCTGCACGCAAGTCCCCCGCCCAGGCGGTGAAAATGGTGCTCAGTTGTGCACGCGCATCGCGGCCAGGATCGGTTCGGTCACGGCCCAAGACGCCCAGGCTGTTGCGCTTGGCAGGGCGATCGGCACCATCGAAGGTGGGTTGGGTCCTCCCAGGCCACATTTATCGGTTCGATCCCGCCGTCGCGTATATGGACATGAGATGTCGCTGCGTGATCTGCCTCAGGTCGGCGAAGTCCCGATCAGTGTTGCGGCAGTTGAAGTGCTCGGAGAGTCCGCTCAGCAGGCGGTACGTCGTGTTGGGCCAGTGCTGTTCTGCTCGATCTGTGGTGCATATGCCGTGCAGCGTAGCCGGGGGAGGGCCCGGGGAATGTAAGCCTTTTGAGCGCCGTGCGGGCGCGCTTGTCAAACATTCCAGCTATTATCGGCTGCAGAAGTTGCTCAAGGGCTGCCGCCCCAAGTCAGGCCTGTCCCTACCCAGAGGAGCTCTTTCTCATAAAATGTGAGAAAGCACAGGAAATGAGAAATTTCTGAGTTTCTTGGAAATACAAAAATATCATATCAGAAATCAAGAATTCACAAGATAACATTGAATTTATACTAATGATTTATATGCCGATGGCCCTGCGGGCTGGAGGATTTACATTCCCTTTCTCCTCGCTCAGTTCCCTCGGTCGTTTCTGTCGTTGCCGTCGCCGCCTTTAGCACCTTCGTGCGTCGCCACCGTAGTTTGCCGCCATCGTCGCCGCAGCTGGTGGCGACGCCGCCGTCGCCGTCACTCGGCGGTCAGCGGTCATCGGCGGGCGGTCGACGGCGGGCGGCGGCCGCGGTGCTCGGCGGGCCGCGGCACGGTCGGCGGTGCTTTCGCCGTTGTCGTCGCCGCCGCCGTCGCCGTCGCCGCGCGCACCACCGAGCATCCCAGAGCTGGGATATTGTGGCGGCCCCCCACCCCACACGCGACGGCTCGCGAGCCATCGCGATGGCCCTCGAGGCGACCCATCCTTCAAATACATTGGCACCCTCCCCCGCCACGAGGAGAAGGAGAAGGATGAGGAGGAGGAGGAGGAGGAGGAGGAGGAGTAAGAGGAGGAGGAGGAGGTGGAGGAGGAGGACGAGAGGGAGGAGGGGGAGGAGGTGGCGGAGATGAGGAGGAGCAGCAGCAATAGGAGAAGGAGGAGGAGGAGGAGGAGGAGGGAGAAGGAGGAGCAGAGAAGGGAGCAGGAGGAGGGGAAGGAGAAGGATGAGCATCCCCACAGACAACGGACTTTGAGAAGTCGGACACGTTGGCGGAGGGCGAGACTGCAGCGACCCAGGTGTGATACACAACTCACCTCGAGATACGTTCGAGGGGCTGCGGGGCGATGATGTGACCCCTAGGGGTCACATCATCGCCCCGCAGCCCCTCGAACGAGCTCGATGTGCGTAGGGGGTATCACATGTTCGAAGGTTGCTGCTGCTGCTGCTGCTGCGGACCCCGACACGCTGGTCGCGCAGCTGCAGCCCCCCATTGCAGTCAGCGACGACAGCCAGCCAGCCGAGGACCGATCGGGTCTGCAGAGAGGTGGATGAGTAGGAGAAGGAGGAGGAGGAGGAGGAGGAGGAGGAAGAAGATGAAGACGAGGAGGAGGAGGAGGAGGAGGAGACACGTGGAGTTAAGACGGACGTGGGCACACCTCAGCGCTCCGAATCCCAGGGGGCGGTCGGAAGGATAGGTGAATGCGTTCGCCAGCACGTCCATGCCCCCCACCCCACCTCCCTACCGCCTCCTCTCCTCGACCGTGCCCCTTGAGGATGCTCAGCAAGTCCCACCTCCTGTGGATGATGCTGATGCTGCAGCTGGCCCCGAGGAAAAGATAACGCAGGCCCGCGGCCCGCGCCTGCTTTCTGTGCGCTTGCTCGCTCGTCCTCCCACCTGCCACCTCGCGTCGCCCCTCCACCCGTCATCTCGCCGCCATCCTTAGCAGAGGGAAAGCACCCACGCTCGTTCCCTCTGACATCCAGAAGGGGAGGAGGAGGAGGAGGAGGAGGAGGAGGAGGAGGAGGAGGAGGAGGAGGAGGAGGACGAGGAGGAGGAGGAGGAGGAGGAGGAGCAGGAGATCCCCACATCAGCATCGCCAATGTCAGGAACTTGGGCCGTCATTAGTTTACATCGTCACCGACGCCATCGTCTCAGAGTAGATCACAGTCATGTCCAACATTTGACGGTAATGTGGTCATCACCATTAGCAGCAGCAGCATAAACATCATCCGTATCGTGATCATCATCGTCAGCAGCATCAGCATCAGCATCAGCATCAGCATCAGCATCAGCATCAGCATCATCATCATCATCATCATCATCATCATCATCCTCCTCATCATCGTCATCGTCATCATCATCGCAATCATTCGTCCGTAGCCATTTTGGCCGCGGGCTCAAACATGGAGCTTTCAGATCGGCTCGCGAAGGCAATCAAGCCTCATGTCAAGAAGCCGAGTTTCCTGAGGTACGACACAGAGAGCGGCATCCGGAAAAATCAGATCGAGGAGTACAAGGGCCTTCTCCTCGCCATAGCCGAGGACCCCAGAGGCAAACTGTTTCGAATCAATCTTGGGTAGGGCCTCGGGAAAGGCTCGAGCCTTTCCCGAGGCCCTACTCGGGACTTACTCGAAACAGCGTCGACTCAGCCACCCCTTTTCCAGACCTCCTCCTCTCTGCCTCCTCCTCCTCCTCCACCTCCTCCTCATCCACCTCCTCCTCCTCATCATCCTACTCCTTCTCCTCTTCCTTCTCATCCTCCTCCTCCTCCTCCTCCTCCTCCTCCTCTTCTCTCTTCCTCCTTTCTCTCCTCCTCCTTCTCCTCCTTCTCCTCCGTCTCCTTTTTTTTTGTCGCAGGCCCAGCCGTCGCTCTGCATCGGGAAGACCACGTGGGAGAAGGCCCTGGCGAAGCTCGCTCGCATGAAGGGCGTCCCTCTGGACTTCGACAGCATCAGGGAGATGGCGGATTGGAAGGAGGAGATGTGCAAGAGGCTCAAGAAGGCGGTGCTGCACGCGAAGGCCTACCGCACGAAGGCCCTGAACGGCAGGGCCCCGCAGTGGTTTGTCAACCTGGGCTTCCTGCCAGCTTGCCACCGCAAGCCGGCCTCAGCCGACGAGGGCGACGAGGGCGACGACGGCGAGTGCGAGGAGGAAGAACACGTTTCAGATCCTGAGGAGGACACAGAGGACGTTCCTGCCGCAGCTGACGATGAGGACGACGGCTTCGTCTATGGATTCGACCCGCAGGCGGCTCTTGGGTACCGCCTCAAGCACGGCGTGAAGTTTTCGTCTCAGCACGCCGAGTGGGCAACCAGCATGGAGAAGGCTGAGAATGCGAAGCCCGTCGACCCGATGATCGCTGTTTTCGCTGACGGCACCAGGAGGGAGATATGCTCGGTCACAGTAGGTACGTTCACTGGCGACTTCAGCAAGGGATCGTCGGGAACTGCGAGAGCTCCTCCCACGAAGGCCGCGCCGAAGGCATCGAATACTGGAGTCGTGCCCACGTTCAGCGGCTATGACAACGATGAGAAAAAGGTGTGGGTGACCTGCAGAACCGACATGCAGCCTGGCAAGTCTCCCGACAGATTGGTGTGCATCAAGACGCACGCTCAGCCCCCACAGATAGTACAGCTGAACATCAGAGCGTTCAGTTCAGTTGCATCCACGAGCGAGGAGATGGAGGTGAAGGCGATCGAGTGGAGCAACTCCATCGCAGAACGCTACTGCACGGGCGAGATCAACAAGGAGCAGGTTCGCAACTTGAAAGTCGCTCTCCTGAAGTCGATGGGGGTAGACGCGCACGCAGTCTGCAAGACGCTCAAGAGGCCATCTGCAGCTATCGCGGAGCCTCCTCCTGCCAAGAAGCCTGCCGCCAGTGTGCCTCCCGCAGCGGCTGCGCCAAAGGCGAAGCCGATCGCCTCGCCACCTTCGACACCCATGAAGTCGGCAAAGGTGCTGCCACGGCACATCCCGATTTCGCCGCCGCCAGAGAGCGATGATTAGACAATGAGCTCGTGCAAAGCCTGTGCCTCAGGATACTAAAGAGCATTGCCCAACCAAGTAATCGCCGAAGAGAGCATGCAGAATTCGACGAGGATCGATGATGAGGAGTACGATGTCGACCTGGTTTTGTTCGGGACCATGAGGCCCATGTTGTGATTTATTCCACGGGTTCGCTCGTCGATCCAGGGCACTGGCTCAGAGGGAGAAGAGGAAGAGGAGGACCAGGAGGAGGACCAGGAGGAGGACCAGGATGACCAAGAGGAGGACCAGGAGGAGGACCAGGAGCAGGACCGATGTTCTTATCCATCACTCTCGTCATCTACTCCCTTGCCGCGCGTGCGAGGCCGCCGAGAAAGCCGTGTCCCAGATGGACGTCTTCAAGCAATTCGAAGAGGAGCTCGACTCGATGAACGACCATGCCACGCTCCTCAGGAACAGTCTCAAGGACGCTCGTCCTTTTTTGCTTGAGGGATGGCTTTCCTACTATCCCCCTTAGGTCCTCACTCCTCATTCTCCCCTCCTCCCTGGTTTCCGCCTCCTCCTCCTCTAGTACCTTCTTCCTCCTCCGTCCATGACGATTGCAGTTGACCTCTAGGGGAGGTGCTGCTAGAGTAAGTGGGATGATGGTGATGATGAGGAGGAGGAGGAAGGAGGAGGAGGAGGAGGCGGAGGAGGAGAAAGAGAACGAATAGGAGCTTTGTAGATTAGCAACAAAATGCGGCCACAGCCAGTCAAAGAGGGGGAGAGTGACATCGAGCAGATGCTGGTGGAGCTCTTCATGAGCTCGACGAAGAGCGAGCACGTGCCCACCGAGGAGACGCTGATCGACGAGAAGTTCCTGGCGGACATGGAGAGCCTCAAGGACCCCGCCCTGGACGACGCGGCGCGGACCAACTTCGCGAACGTGACCATGCAGTCATCGCTGGGCAGGAGATTCTACTTGTGGTTGGTAAGCTGTGACGAGCGGAAGGCGAAGTACGATGCGATGGACGGCAACGCCAAGAAGACCTGGCGGAAGGACTGGCTGCAATCAAAGTACGACTCGATTCAGGAGAGCAGATCAAAGCTGATGCAGACCATCCACGAGGATGAGCGCCTGGGCGAGTGGATGAACTTCGACGCGATGATCCAAGCCGAGGGCGGGCTCGGCATGAACCCGAGGGCCGTGATCGCGGGCTGCATGAACATAGCGAGGTCCTGCATCGAGGCTGGGCCAAAGAGGGTGCGCATCGACAAGGACTCCAAGCGCATCCAGTTTCGGAGGTTCAGGGACATGGACAAGAAATCCAAGAGGACGACGTGGGGTCAGCTGGAGGAAGAGATGAACGACAAGAAGACGTCTTCAAGCTGTGCCTCGGGCTCGCAAGTGGGTGCGACGCAGCAGTTCGAGACGCCGCCCAAGGCTGCAGCTCCAGCCTTTCAGAAGAGGGTCGAGGAGGCCGGCGCGAGCAAGGCCGAGATCACCGAGCACAACAAGGACAAGGACAAGGAGAAGCTCCAGGATGCTACGTCGAGCAAGGCGAGAACGGGCTCGCCGTCAGCTAAAGTGAAGGCCACGGCCAAGGCTCAGGCGGCAACTACTAAATTAGGGAAGGCCAAGGCTAAAGGGAAAGCTGGCAAGAAATCTGCGCCAATTTCGGAGGCTGTCGTGAAGAAGAAGGCACGTGATACAACTACGCAGCATTCACAGATGATGAAGAAAACCAAGCGCTTGCTGGAGCAGATCAACGGCGACGAACCCTCTCTGAAGTGGGCCAAGACCGACCGCTTCGAAGGGAAGCTGCAGCGTGCGATCTCCCGCCTGGACAAGTTCATCAAGCAGGACGCGAACCTGAAGGCCATGTTCGATGACGGTGAGGATTGGGACGTCGAGTGCACAGACATGAACCAGGCGATGGCGAAGTTCAACGAGATCACCGACAAGATCAACGACATCGGGGAGCTGGTGGGCCGCATCAACAGCCTCAACGAGGAGGACGCGACGTCCAGCCAGTAGAGTGCATCAGCGACACCCTACATACGAGCCCTCGCTGATCAGCGAGGCATTTTTTGCTGTGTTTCAGGCGCGTGCATTCCACGTGGGGGAGGGGGAACTCACCCTCGAGAGAGATAAAGGGACAAGGGACTTCGAAAGGCATGCGCAATCACAGCTGCGCGCTCAGTTGGCCAGCACGGGGCGCCAACTACTTCACAGTCATTCGACTGGAAGTGCTGCGATAGCGGGAACCATGTCCTCCTTCCTTCTCCGCCCCACCATCTTCCTCCTCTTCCTCCAATTCCTGCCTCAAACTGTCACGTCAATCACCCTCGTCGGCATCCCGTGGACCCGATTCGAGCTAAAAACCTTGAAAAAAATACGCGGGAGCTTCAGGGGAGCTCCAGGGTAGCTTTAGGGTAGCTTTAGGGTAGCTTTAGGGTAGCTTTTGGGTAGGTGGGCGTCTCGCTCGATACATCCTCACAAAATCAGACGGTAGCTTCAGGGTAGCTTTAGGGTAGCTTTCGGGTAGCTTTCGGGTAGCTTTCGGGTAGCTCTCGGGAGCCTCCAAAGTAGGTCTGGCGCAGTCACGTGATAGGATTCTTGGAGGAATGTCGTGATTTTCGCTTTCATCGCAACACTTGGACAATACTCTGGATCTCGTTTTGAGAACATCCACCTCTTCTGTCTCGCTTTAGCGCTGTGCTGAGGGACGAAAGCGCCAGGGTACGGCGTCGCCCGAGCGCAATGAAGCCAGGGGTCCTGGCTCCCCGAGGCCCGTCTTAAGATGTCTCTCTGCTCCGTCTGAATTGCATGAACCCCCCTCCCGCCCTGCCTCTCTTTTACGGAGGTGGAGGGGGAGC